ACAACAAAGTAAAGCTATTTTTCGGCTACGAGCCGACAAGGACCCCGCCGTATTAGTCAGAGGTCCCTTTACTACGGTTCGGAGCCGCGGACCTTCAGTAATAGTAATAAATCACACAGCAATAGTACATTCACGTTGTTGTAAAAAGCATGATAATATATTAAGTAATCCAAAGTATTCAGAATACGTTACTGTCATTGAGTAACGTAACAGAATACATTACTGAATACATTTTGGGGCATGTATTCTGTAATCTGTAATGGAATACATTTTAAAAGTAACCTTCCCAACATTGAATGTACATATGTTCAGTTGTATAGTGTGCATGCAAGATTCAGGTGCAACAGCCAGAGTGCTACTTAACTAAATGACATGCATCTTTAAAATAGCACTAAAATTTCACTACAGTTAAGGAAGGAAAAAAGCTCAAAGTGAGTTGTTAAGATGATGAAGCAAAATGAAGAATCTGATGTTGCTCCTGTTTCAAAGGGCAATAAATAGTATTAGTTCTTTGTGTAATGGTAGCACATATGTGTACTACTTCTATTATAATGAAGCATGCAGTTGTAGTAAAACGAAGGGAAAATAATCTTGTGTCAAACTGAACAAACTCGTTCTCATCTCAATACATAAAACAGCGAGAACTGTGACAAACTGTCAGTATATGTATTGGGAGGTATGGGAGCGTGTTTGAATAAATCTATAAATGTGTTTTACGTGTGACATGAAAATCATGTCACACGTAAAACGTTCTAAGCATGTCCTACCGCCGCAAGTGACTTTGTATTGTATTCAATAGAGAACCCAGAGTGTTCTATGAGGACATGAAGGGTGCCTTTTGTGTTACTATGAGACACCTAGGGGCGTGATAAATCATCTGTTTGTTACGTGTTGGGAATGATAATGCTCTGACTGGACTTTAAAAAAAGAAAGTCTATTATAATGTATCATAATCTATTTTTAATATATTGTGTTTTTATTATGATTATATGTAAAGAAGACAAAAGAAAAGGAAGACCAAGTATTAGCTCATGTTTAAACAATGAAGGTTTATTCATCAAAATCATTTATGTGTATGTTTACGGAGACTTTGGATGTCTAGAGAACTTTCAGTAAACTGGATCTGTTTTTTATTTTGTTTTGTTTTTTCTTTTAATGTACTATGTTTCTTAAATCATACCTGTGGTATATTCTCTAGATATAATCATTATTAAATTAACTGTAATAAGAGAAATTTAAGTTCTAGTGTCAGTTCATGTGGGCTGAACTTAATTTGAGTCTGTGTTTCAGACATACAATGCTGCATTCAGTAGGGTGTATCTTAAAAAATATCAGTGGCTCAATATGTTAATGAGAACATATAAAAGCAGTGTGCCGTTATGTTAATAGCTAACCACAGTGAAAGTATTTAAAAAGAGGTAGCAGCTGTGCACAGCATCTTCAGACGTGTTGCCAAACTGAGCAGGTAAGAGAAAGTGGTTTAACTGACACTAATTTGACTGAGACAGAGACCAATATAGAGACAGTGTGTGTGTGTGGTGCTGGTGGTGGGTTTTTTCAAACTAGGTCAACTGTCCCACTTGCACAAACACTCTGAAACAGTGCTAGAAAAAAAAACCTCTAAACAAACAATCAAAAAACAAAACAAAAAAACAACCATTATTGAAGGTAGTACCTTTTTATGTGTAACAAAAAACAAAAGTCAAGAGTTACTCTTTACCACTGAAACATACTTTGATAATGGACTTTTTCTTTTTTTTTTTTAGAAAAAAGTTAATACTTTTAATTTATTATTTTTTTTAATTGAAATATCTTTGGTTGTCCAAGTGGTTTCTGTTCTTTCTGTACTTACTGAAATCCTGGTCTTTAAGCATTTATCAGCAATGATGCATTAGTAAATCTCATTACAGTGTACTCAAATCATGACTTTGGTGTTCAATAAAACCTCACATTATAATAACTGCTAACAAAACAAAACAGAAAAAAACAGTCATTTGTTTCTTTAATTCTTTATTTTTCCTATATTATTGCTGCTTTTTAAAATGACAATGACTGAAGAAATACTTAGAGAAAAGCTGACATTCTTAAAATGTACATGCAGATAATACTAATTTCATAAACACATATAAAATAAAACCTTAATGTGCCATTTAGGGAAGGGGTTATCTTTATGAGATAACAACGGTAATAACTGTTAAGGCTGATTTTTTTTTTTTTTTTTTTACATTTTTTTTCTTTAAAGCTCAAAATAACAATATCAGTGATCATGTTATCTTTTTATTTTTCTGTTTTTCATTTTCTTATTTGCAATAGTTACGTGTAAGCTAACCACATGCCGTGATTTTATGAAAGTCCAACAAATACATTATGTTTGAGGCTTGACAGAAGAATAGATGACAGTCTCTTCTTGACAGCTTGGATTAATGTCTGCTCTGGACACTTTTGGTTCTGTGTTGGACACAAATATATTAATTTATCAAGAAACTCTGTTTTTTATTGATACATGTTCGATCGTCCAGATAAAGAAATCCCAGAAATGTATTAGGTCATCTGAACATAGTGTTTTCAATGAAAATGCTACATCTAGACAAACAGAACAGAATCAACATTCTGGGATTTTTTTTTTGTTAAAGTGTGTGTGTGTATACCTTTTTTTCCCCAGTGACTTTTAACAGTGGCATACAGGACATCATTTGTTTCATATGAAATGTCTCCATCTAACAACAAATATAAGATAAAACCTGATGACTAAAATGCCTCATGTCACACAAATTATTATTCAACATTTACATGCTATTTAAGTTTTTAAAAGTCATTAGAAAACATAAATGACTACATTAAAACGTTACCATTCTGCTTCCTTTGTTTACTGACCACAGCATATGTTGCTTGATGTAGGGCAGTGGTGTCCGTGTCTTGCAGGACAGACATGTTTCAAAAAAATGGGTGGGGGTCAGACAGCACAAACTCATTAACATTTACGTCATGCTCACAATACATATCATGGTTAGAATATGATGGTTATATTACATATCTTTACTTTGATCAAGCCATATGTCAGAAGTCTGTGTGATAGTGTTAGATACTAATATTGGCAAGCTAAATTTTTGGATTGTGAGGTGCTTGGAACCAGTGCCACTTGGTTAATCTATAATATTTCCAGTCAAGGAACTATTATTAAATATATATATGTCTGTATTAATCTGGTAAATCATTATCATATTGACTTTGTTTAAATCCTGCTATATACTAAATCTCTGCATTTAAAAAATGTTTTGTTTATTTGTTTTTTCCCATTGCTCAGTAAGTAGTGTCAAGTGTTGTAAAGATGATTAAGTGAATATTTATGTAATGATACATGATAATCAAAATCAGCAGCTAATGCATTCATATAAAAAAACAAAACAGTTAAGGTTGTTTAGTACAATGATGCAAAAAAGACTGCAACTGTAACAGTAAGATTAAATGAATTTACAGTCTATTTCTGGGAGAGAACTTTTCTGTACCTTTGTGCTTCTTATGCAGAATCAGGGCCATTACCATCAACAACAGAGCCACCAATAAAACACAGATAACAGTCCACAGCAGAATTTGTTTTTTAGGGAATTCATCATGTGATATTTTAGGGACTTCATGTGAAAGATCAGTCTCATTGTAATGTGCTGGAAAGAACATGAAAATATTAAACAAGAAAAAAGACAAATAAAACAAAACAGGGATATATTTAAAAAAAAATCTAAATCACCTTCACGTTGTTTTAAAACAGCTAACCAGCTCTCGGGTGATTCTCCTGCTCCAGATATGCTGCACTTGTAGAGTCCTTCATTAGACTTGGAGACATTTTTGATGGTCATGCTGCTTTGATACCAGGTCCCTAGAGAAACACCATCTTTGTAGAAGTCAGTGATGTGTTCTGACTGAGTTTTCTTGTTTTTGCAATTAAGGGTCACCTCATTTCCCTCCATCACAGGGTAGGCAGGACTTTCCAAGATTACAGAACCAGCTGTGAAGTGTGATGAAAATATATTTTATGAATTACTTCATTACATTATTTAATAAAAAAAATGACTCATTTTTTGTGAAAAGTGTTAAAGAACTTAGGATTCAACTTATTCAAAAGTAACACTTAAAAAAACGAAACATTCCTTAATAGAGGTGCATTTCTACACACACAAACACAGGCACACACACATATTACTCAACATACCAGTGATAACAATGTTCACAGCCTCACTTTTTTCTCCATCTTCATTTTCACACCAGTATTCTCCACTGTGACTTTCAAAGGTGGGATAAATTGTGCAGGGTGATGCTGATGTGTTAGATGTCTGGGAAGAGTTTTCTATTTTAAGGGATTTCCACTTCACGATCCATTCAGTGATGCTGTTATCTTCCTCACAATGTAGAGAGATAGACTTGTATTCAAAGAACTGAAGTGTATTTGGAACAATGTGAGGAAAAACTGCATCTAAGACAAATATGTGAACAAAGAAGGCAATCAAATAGATTATCTGCTCTTAAAATAAGAAAAGAAAGTCTTTCAAAATCCGTAACTATAACAAAACACAACAAAGCGTTAAATTTGCTAGAATTTGCTAGCATGAAGTCTCACTGGCTCTAACCAGTGAGACTTCATGCTAGGCTGGATCTGCTTCTGATGAAATAAACACAAACCATTAAAAACTAAAGTATCAGAGCCTCAAACGCTTTTGAAGGTAGCTTCGTGAACTCAGTTTTTTCTTACTAAAATGCAAATAAATACAAAATATCATCATTTAAAATTAATTTGAATATTATAGGTCGTTTAGTAATCTAAACATCTTCGCTCATATCACATTTTTACAAATTGCTTCTAACTCACCAGCAAAGTTGCTGCGATCAGCTTGTACAGCCACAAGGACCAAAACCTCAGTCACTGTAGAAACAAATGAAATTCTGTGCATCAGACATATATGACAGCTAAAAATACGATTGTACAATTAATTGCTGGAATCGGTATTTACAAAGTCTAATGCTGAGAGTTGTAATCTCCATGATGTCTTGCTGCTGACTGCATGAGCTTTAGGCTGAAATACAACAGACAAAATGTAGGTTGGGACTTCCTCTTCCTGTTTAATTCATTTTTGATGTTGATGATGCAAATTGTACCAAGAATTATCTCTAAGACATATAACTGCTATGACAATAATGATGTAATAGAGATTATTCTGTTTCTAGCTAGTTGCAGTGTGTTTTGGGGAAGAAAATGATTGAAAATGTATTTATTTATTCATCAAATTGCAACTATAGAACTTCAAAACAAAGATTCCTGGGCTGGTGGGGAACAGCAGTTTTCATCATGAATTTCACCTGATATAAAATGATTAAACCTGAGATAAAAATTTTCCAGAACCTCAGTCCTCCATAGTATAAATTTCACTTACAATGGTTTTCCTTATCCTTCTGGGTGTTTATTTTTAATCTGAACATTTAAAAGCATTTCCACTTTCCACTATGCTGTAACTGAGCAAAGTGGAAAGTGAAAATGCTTTACTGCCAAAAAACATTTGAACCTAAAAATGTACAGCAAAGGGGAGCAATGATAGTCTGATGGGGCTGAAATTTGATTTTTTTACTGACAAGCCATGGAATTCCAAGATCAAGTTAAGTTTGAAACCACTGAGGCATGTAACACTGAGCACGATTTTACTGGGAGACTTTGGCCTTAAATTTAACTGAGTCTGAAGTCTTGTGATATTATTCTGTTATCATATGTTACCTTATATATGTAATCAAAGTAGCTGAATTATGATACTGCTGTAGATCATATTATACCCCTTAATATAGAGTGTGTGATCAGTATGTAGTCTTAGTTTGCATTATACTTCTGACTTAAAAGAGTGTGAAAATCATTAGATCTATTGGATTGACCTGTATTACTCGACACTGTTGAATGTGTTACACTGTTTCTTGACATTTCATACTGCTGAATCATGAAGAGAATGTTGTGTGCGGAGGACCTTGTGCAGATAATAGAAGAAACAGACCCCCACCTTTTCAGAAGAGCAGAAAGACAGGGAGCCGAGGTCATAACTTAGGCACCGTAACAGAGAAAGAATGTGATGTTTAGGCTTTTACGACTAGGTGGGGGCCACTAGAGGCTATAAGAAGCTGAGTAACCCGTCACCATTTTGAGACTGCTGTGACCCTCTGCAGGCAGGTCTCCCCATCATGATGGTTCTAATGCTCTTAATTGTTGATTTATATGGAAATAAAGTATTGTTGATTGAGCATTTATACACCGAGTACTGTCCTTCCTTCAGCCCAAAGATTAAAAGAATTGGGAGATTTCAACAACTTGGTGCCGTGTGACCCGGATCTTTGGTGTGCTGAGGAGGTGCAGATTTGGCCTGTGGTGAGATCGTGAGGCGAGGCGAACAGAGGGCCGGCCTAAAACAGAAAGGTAAGCACAGCCTGTTGTATTATAAATACCAAATGTGCATATTGGGCTTTCCAAATTAATCTGTTCGCTGAGTTACACGTATTTTCACATTAAATTTGTCGGTGTCTGGTTTTTGGCGCAAGATACTAACAACATAAGTTGAGGCTGAATTCCAGTGTGTTAAATAAACTGCTTCTACCGAGAAACTAATAAGATACTACGTTGAGCTATTTGCAGCCACTTTACCTTCCACATTTAACTTTGTCTAAGACTGGCTTCTGTAGCAATAATACATTAGAATATCTTTTGGAGACGCGGCCATAAGACCAGTACATTGAAAAGAGGTTTTGAAGTGGGTTATGATGTCGGTTTGAGTTCTCGTTGATGCGGCCATGAAATTAGTATAGAATTAAGGAAAAGCAGATGCTGGCTCACGGT